GCCGGTGGCTAGGGCTTCTTATTGGCTAGCTCTGTCTTAATTATTAACCCATTTCTATAATCTAAGTATTTCCACGTGGTATTATCTTACCAGAGAACTTCTATTATTCTGGACTTTAGGTATTATCTGGACCTCTAACTTCTTTGGCAGCTCACATGGCAACTGTTCTGGCAGCTGCTTTTTTTTTTTTTTTTTTTGGGAAGTTCTGAGAGGTCAGAGAGAAGGAGCAAGCCACAGCACACCTTACCTCCTAAGTGTCCCTGCTTATATCCTGTTTCTGCCCTGTCTGTCCGTACAGACCTCCAGAACTCTATGGTTATCTAGTGGCAAGCTCCATTCTCTGATTCCCAGACAAGCTTTATTTGTGCAAGAAAGATATCAACACACACACACACACACACACACACACACACACACACACACACACAGACACAGACACACAGTGTGGGTGTACTTTTGTGTGTCCATGTGCAGACTCATGTATGCATGTGTGTGGAGGCTAAAAGACAGTCTTTGGCATATTCTCAGGTACTAACATCTTTGATTTTTGAGACATGGTCTCTCAGTGGCCTGTAGGTTGCCAAGTAGACTAAGTCAGCCTTCCAGTGAGTCTGAAGGATTCACCTGTCTTCACACTCTTGGTTCTGGGCTTACAAGTGTATACCACCATATCCGTTTTCTTATTTTTTTTCTTTAAACATGGGTTATGGTGACCAAACTCAGGTCCACAAGCTTGCAAGGCAAGGGCTTGAGGAGTGATCTGTCTCTCTAGCGTGTCCCGACACTTAGATCCTCCAAATTCTTCATTTTTGTCAGTTTCATGTACGTATGCACTGTATTATGAACATAATCTATAGTATCCTCTCCAAGTCCCTGGATCACTTATCTCTTAGTGAAAACCCTTGTGGGGCTGAAGAGAGATAACACACCAATTGTGTAAGAGGCAGAGAGTGGGGCTGAGGGCCTTGAGTTGACCCCTATAAGCTACCAGCGACTCACTCTAAGAGGGAGGATGGAGACTTTGGAAAATTTGTCTGCTGAAGTTTGAAGGATGGTTTGGTGTTGGGGAGGAGCGGTAGGAGGGTGGGTGTGGGGGAGTGGACCTGAAGGGCAGGAAGCTCCACTGAGAGGCTGAAGCAGCCTTTGGAGTAGAAGAGAAAGAGGGCTGGATGGGAGCGTCGGAAGAGAAACGGAGGGAGCCTAATGCCACCCGGAGTGGCTTGAGGGGCACAGCTTTCTTCACTCCTGCTGCCGCATGTAGTCTCGGAAAGGGGAGCTGTTCAAGTGGAATGTCCCGCCTGGTGGGTGTGAAGGTGACTGCGTGCTCTTGGGAGAGCATATGGAGTCTGATCCTGTGACGTGAGGTTTATTAAACCAATCTTCTAGTGTGGACACTTCCTGCGCATGACACTTGAATGTGTTTTTCTTTTTCTTTTTTTTTTTTTTTTTTTTTTTTTGGTTCCAGGTGGTGTCTGTTTGAGTCTAATTAATTTCCTTTTCTTTTTTCTTTCCTCTTAAAATAGACTCTCTCAAGAAGAATTTCCAATCCATACCTTGAACATAGTCCTTCCCAGGTATGAAACTGTTATCTTTTTCCTTCTGTATGTTTGTAATGGTGGTTCACAGACGCTGGTGGTTAACTTTAGGTTATAGCTTCCTGACCTCCCGGAGTTTTGCAGGGATAATTTAAGGATGCAGGATTGATGCTGGCCTGCCCTGTCACCTGGCAGAATGCACTCAGGCAGTACTCTGGTCAGCCCAGGTGCAAAGGACCCCTTTAAAAGAAAGACCTCCACCCACTTATGCTCTCTTTCTGTTCTCTCTCTCTCTCTCTCTCTCTCTCTCTCTCTCTCTCTCTCTCTCTCCTGCTGTTCCCCTGGGACTTTTCCTGTCTCCCTCTTCTCTTCTGTCCTCTCTCTGCCTCTGTGTCTCTTTACCTCTTTTTCTCTTTCCTCCCCTTCCCTCTCTTTCTAATTAAACTTCTCACTTAAGCTCAGTCTGCCTGGCATGTTTGTCCCTCCGCCTCGGTCACCCTGCAATGAAATCTGCCAAGGTCCCCCACGTGCATTTATTCCTAACAATAATGCCCTCTTCACACTGTCTTCCCTGCCAGGGAAGACCAGTGAAGACACTGAGATTCCCTCACGATTCATGATGCTCATGACGTAAGAAATAACTGTTTGCCTCGCTTTGCAATAAGTGATCAGTGTGGAAGAGTAAATATTCGTCCTTCAGTTTTTCGTTCTTTGTTTTTTTTGTAGTGATGCGAGCACAAGAGTTTGCAAATAGTATACATTGTACACAGAACTTTAATAAGAGGAGATGTATGCATAGTTACCCCTAAGGCCATTGTCCCCTCTGTGGTCTCTGATGAGAAGAGATGAGGACGTGTTTATTGTGTTGCATTGAGGAGCCAGACACACTTTCCCATTCCTCAGAACAAGAGACTGAAGGGAGGATCTCTCCTTCCTGCCCTTCACTGTTAGACACCTGGAATAGATCATGTGCTTGTCGGCTATTCATTAAATGCTTCATGAATGACTTATTGAGTGAGCCTTGTAGCTGTCAGGACTACTCAAGCACCAGCTGACTCGTGCCTTTACCTCAGTAACTTTCTGCTGTGTAGCTTGTTCAAGAGATTTGATTTTTAAAAATGTACCAACAGGTCATCATTTCTTGACCCTCTTCTCATCAGATTGCATTCAAGTGACGATACTGGGAGAATTAAGCATGAACACTTACTTTCTAGCAAGTCACAACCCATGTATTATAAATTTGTTTGCTTTAAGGGGTAATATAAGATATCTGTAGGTAAAGAAATAGTTACTAAGAGGGCCTGGGGTATAGTGCAGTTAGAGTGCGCTTGCCTTGCTTACAAGGCCCTGAGTTCAAACCCAGCACAACCAGTCAAAGGAGTTTGCCAAAAAGCAAATAGGGCTGGAGAAATGGCTGAGCAATTAAGAGCACCGGCTGTTGTTCCAAAAAAACCCACAGGTTTGATTCCTATCATCCACATGGTGGCTCACAACCATCTATAACTCCAGTTGCAGGGGATCTAATATCTTCTGACTTCCAAAAGCATCATGTACACGCATGCAGAACACAAATACAACATAAATACATGCAGGGAAAAATACTCATACCCGTAAAAATAAATATGTAAATAAATATATTTCACAATATGAGAAAGCGGAGCAAATGGAAAGCTATAAGCATAAAGCAGTATACAATAATTTCATTACATTGTGACGTTTTGCCCATTGTATTTCACATCCTGGGCTTATGAAACAGCCTTGTGCTAGAGAAGAAAGGGCAATAGGAGAAAAGGAGGTAGCTTTGAAAATGGCACAGAGCCTTCCTTCTTCTCCAGGGATTAAAGACTTGGAGGAATGGGAAGATTAAGGAAAGAAGTTAAATGAAATCTCTTTCTGAAAGATAGAGTTGTGAAGCCCTGCAGATCAAATCAGAGCATTTGGAATTAGCTGGGAACTGTGCAGTTGAGTGAGGCTTCAGGGCAAAGTAGCCTGCTGTGGCATTGCATTGGGCTTTTAGTTGTTCACTAAGTGGGGAAATGTCTTCCAAGGGCTTTTATATGCCTGGGTTATCAATAATGGCCAAGTTAGTAGATTAAACGAGTTGCTTGTGATTAATCTGCACAGATAAACAACTCCAGTGTGCCGTGGTAACGGAAACACTATTTCCAAAGTGTGGATATTGCACACTGAGAACTTCATGTTTTAAAAGAATATTGCTTATGATGATAGCTAAGTGAAGTCCTTTACATTTGGAAAATAGTTATTATAGTTTAATAGTGTAAGTGGACCAGCAGCTAAAATAAAATAAGGTAATTATAGACCAGTGGCTTCATAGGCTAAAATGTGTCTGAAGCTTAGGGAATTAGTCATGATCCTTTATATACAGCATGCTGTTGGGAGCTCACAGACTGTCACATTATCGTTCTCCATGTAGAATCATTGTTTGTCTTTTCTGCTTAGATTTATGGAGAGAATTCTTCTTGCGCAGGAAGAGCATTAAGGAATATTATTATCGTTCAAGGAGCCGACCTGGTAAAGGACAGAGTGAACCTCAAGGGGTTTTACAGGTAACACCGTTTCTTAACACCTGTCAAAGCTCTCCTTGAGGAGTGAAAATCAAACCAGCCTGATTGTAACCTTGAGCACAGAGTGTCAGGCTGTCTCGGTATTATCAGTCGGAGGGACAGATGTGTTCTGTCTGCTCTGGATCCCCAGGGTGTTTGCGTATGGTCATGGTTAGGCTTCCGGGTCTGAGAGGATATAAAATTGCTAACTGCAAGGATTGTCTCTTTTTTGAGTCTCCTGAGATGCAGGCTCATGCTACACTGGGTACTTCAAGAGACATAGATACCACATTGGAGACATTGTCAAGTGTCTGGAAATGCTCATAGGCAGACAGAGAGAGACAGAGAGAGAGAGAGAGAAGAGAGATGAAAAAGAGAAAGAGAGAGAGAGAGCTATTCAAATCCTCCAGGTGAGAATGAGCTGCTTCCTGGGCCAGTGAATAAGGGCAGCTCTGTAAACAATAGAAGAGGATAGGCTCATGACCAGTCTTAATAAACGTCTGGAATTCCAGTGAGTTCAGTTGGAGTGTTCAGTACACGTGTTTCCCTCTTGTGGAATAATAAAACAAAAGAATATACTATTGCCTTTTTATTTTGCTACATAGAGATGGAATAACACTGAATAATACCAAATGGAAACTGTAAAAAATAAAACCAACAGAACAAAACTACCATTAATAAAGAGTCTTAAAGAGATGACATTGAAATAGCAGAATAGGGGCAGCACTCAGATATCACCAGGAGGAGGGCGGATTCCCACCATAAAGGATGTTCCTTTAAGTTATAGAAATTTAGCTTATAACAAATGCTTTTACCGCCCTGTTGTTTTCATCGGCCACAGGGGACAAGTGTTTCATTGGAAACATTTCATGATGGCCCAGATCCTGGGGATAGTGAATCCCAGAGATTTGGAATAAGAAAACCCCTGTGTGAGGTACAATTCATACACAAAATAATGAGTCAGACGGTGGTTGTGTACACCTTTAATCCCAGAACTCAGGAGGCAGAAGCAGTGGATCTCTGTGAGTTTGAGGCCAGCCTGGTCTACAGAGTGAGTTCCAAGACAGTCTCCAAACCTACAGAGAAACCTTGTCTCAAGAATCAAAAGACAACAAACAAACAAACAAACAAACGTGTATAGCTTCATAAATGTTTCTTTACTATACACTGATACAATCTTTATCCATGCAACATGGTTAAGATAGAGGGGAAATGTTGTTCTAGAAAGTTCCCTCATACCTCTTAACAATCACCAGTTTCTGCAAATACAGTGTCTGGGTGTTTTGTTCGCATATGTCAATTTTGCGCAATAATGGGATTCATGCTTGTACACAAAGAATTTCGCTCATATTCACCTCCAACCCTGCTGCTGTCCTGCCCCAATTCATGCTCTTGTGAGTCCTGCCTGTCTTCCACTACCTTCCCTTCTACTGTCTTGTCATTGTTTTGGAGTCCGGGTGGGGGTTGTGGGTGTGGGCAAGGACTTTCATTAGGATTGCTTACATGAGTGTAGTTGGGAGTTTGTTTCCGGGAGTATGGGTACTTTGCCTGTACCTCTCATTTCTCTCTCTCTCTCTCTCTCTCTCTCTCTCTCTCTCTCTCGTTAAAGATTTTATTTATTTGCCATATATACAGTGCTTGCCTGCATGTATGCCTGCAGGCCAGAAGGGGGCACCAGATCTCATTAAGGATGGTTGTGAGCCACCATGTGGTTTGCTGGCAACTCAGGATCTCTGGGAAATCAGCCAGTGCTCTTAACTGCTGAGCCATCTCTCCAGCCCCAACTCTTGGTTTTTTAGGGACCCTTTAGCAGATTATGAATCCCCAGGAGGAGGTAGGGCCCTAGCAACCCTCCCCTCTTTCTATGACAAGGTGTTGAGAAGCTCAGTCTTGTGGAGAACCTGAGTAGATAGTCACAGCTGCCCTGAGTTCAGTACAGAAACAGCCAACTTAAAGAAGAAAGGGAGAGTCCATGAAGGCAAGGGTTGGGGGTGGGTAGCAGCAGGTGGAGGAGGCAGGAAGCCGAGAGATCGAATCTTTATCCATGAGCCTGAAGCAGAGAGAACCAACAGCAAGTGAGGCTGAACTGTGAACTTCCAAAGCCTGGTCTTGGCAATGTTTTTCCTCCAGCAAGTCTCCATCTTCCCAAGTTTCCATCACCTTCCAAACAGCACCCCCATTCCACCCTCACCCCCCAGACCAAACATTCAAACACATAAGCCTGTAGGGGACATTTCTCATTCAAATCTCCACATCCAGCCACACATAAATTTAAATTAAAAACAAAAGCGAATGACATCCCGTATAGTCCCATCTGACTCTCTTTTTTAAAAGGAACATTGTATATGTAAGCCTTCATGTCTAGCTTTGGGCAAGATCGAAGAATTCATGTCAGTTACAGCAGAAGGCTATGCTGAAGTCTATGTTCTTAAGGTGTGTGTGTGTGTGTGTGTGTGTGTGTGTGTGTGTGTGATCTGTGGGCGTTAACTGAAATGGAAATGGACCCTAATCAGGTCCATGGAAAAAGAAACTATCCAATTTTGAACATGCTTAGGATTTTATAGGAGTACTGTGGGGAGGAAGTGTCTATTTTGTTGTAATGAGAAAAGAGCTACTGAAAGCAGGATTTAAATGAGTCCACCAGACCCAAGATAAATGACAAATAGGTATTTATTAGGGAAGCCCTCACACAGATAAAAGTAAATAACCACCACAGTTTTCCTGCTCCAGAAGATGCAGTCTCCACCCTTCTGTGAGCATGAGCCAGCCCCTCCTCTACCTTATAAGGGGTCATGTCTGCACTAGAAACCACACCCAAAGGGTGTGGCCACCACTGCAAGTTCACTGGCAAGGCAAGATTGCCCCTACAAGCGACTTTTCTGTTGTAGTTTAAGGACCAATTAATGTTCTAGGATTAAAGATAAAACACTAGTGTGGCTGCCTAGGATGGGTCATTTAAATGTGTTTGGTGGTCAGCTGGGGTAATGAGTTCCCATATGCCCTGTGAGAATCCACGGTGGCAGCTCTGGGAAGTTTTTGTCCTATAGAAAACGCATGTTATTTTCTGAGCCCTTATGTCCTTGTATGTAGGTTAATCACTAAGTACCACCACCCTATTTATGTTTTAAAGTTTAGGATCTGTGTTACCACAGACTGATTGCAAATGGGAAGAGAGGAAGATGTCAAGGAAAACAAACAAACAAACAAATTTCCCACTCCAGAGATGGGTAAAGTGCAGCCGTACACAGGGTCACGTGGGTCTGCTGATCATCACCTCCATATGGCAGTTCTGATACCTGGTATCACAGCTCTGGTTAGATCTGCTTTTACCCTTGCAGCTTCTGGATAGAGTACAAGGCTAAGAGCCATGGCAGTATTTAGATCACTCTGATCCAATCATCTCAGATTTTCATTCTTTCTGCTACCCTCTGCCCTGTAGATTGAGGTTTTTAACTTGATTGTTGTAGACCTGGTCAAAAGTCAGGGGATTAGGAATTAAATGCCTAACAGCTCATCTCATTTTATTTGCTTTAAAGATATTAAGACAGAGTTTCTCTTTGTCCCCTAATGTTTTTCCTCATCAGATGGATGGTAGGAGCAATTTAAAACATGATCATGAGATTTAGGGAGGGACAGAAAGGGGCCACATGAGATTAAAACAGTAGCTTGTTGGGGGTGGTACCCAGTTGTCTGTTAAGGTTGTCATGGCAATTCTGTGTTTTAGCATATTTGTCCCAAGCCTGTGCCTCACACAGCGTAAACCCTTCCTAAGAAGAAAGGGAAGCTAGGGGATTTGGGCTTTGTGGTCACCTGCAACACCTAAGGGATCTGTTGGGAGTGGATATCTCAGTTTCCATGTAGCTTTGATGTGTTAGAATCCACAGTTGACAGCATCCTTGCCCTTCCTCCCTGAAACTGCGGAGCACAGCATTGTTGTTGAAAAGGCCTGGACTAGGAAACCTCTTCATGGCCACCTGTGCTCAGATAGGCACAGCTACAATATAGCTACCCGGTGTAATGTGGAGGTTGGGTTTGTTGAGCAAATGTTGTATTGTGGCCTTCTGTGTTCCAAGCAGACACTCATAGAGGAATGACAAGCCTCTGTTTTGAAAATGTGAAATGAAAAAAATGACACAGTATTTAACTCATGGACTAACATGCTTTCAAAGGCCAAAGATGCTGGCTAATTGAGGGAAGCATTGAGAAATTAGTTAATTAGCACTTTGATCTCTTATCTTGAAAGGTGTCCTGTAGAATCAGAGTTAATATTGACTATTTGGTCTAATTGCATGTTTTCTCGCCACCTGTGTTCTCATTTAAAAGAATCCATATATCTGAATGCTTGTCTTTCTACCGCCTTAATGGTAACCTGCCACTGAACATGTCTGGGACTGGCTTCATTGCCCTGGAGTATCTTTCAAGTAGTGACACTTTACCAGAAAAAAAAAAAAAATCACAGTGCTTTAACAAAAGCTATACCATTCAATCCAGTAGCCCAGCCGAAGTGCAGCACTTTCTGGAAAGTCTTGATGTTGCAAGCTAATGTCTGTGTCAGTCTCAAGAGCTTGCTAACACATTTCTCTAGTTTAGAAGGACAAGACAGCATTATATTCTCACCCCTAATGTCTGCAGGATAAGGGTCAACAGTATAAGATGCATTCCCTCCCTCTCTCCTTCTCTTTGTCTCTATCTTCTTCTCTTCTTTCAACACTCTCGCAGCCTTTTTGCACAGGAAAAAGTAGAACTCGGACACCTCTACAAATGAAAACCTGTATTTCAGAATGTTTTCTTCTGTCTTTTCCTGAGGCCCACACAAATGGAAAAGTTGGCTTGATGATACCACTTCTAACAGTCTGTGGGGTTTGGTGTGTGTGCTTCAAATTCTGATTATAAAGATGACTGTGTGTGTGGTTAGTGGAATCCAGCACACATCCGGCTTCCTGATTTTATGATCTACGATGCTGCTGCTTATTGAGGTTGCTTTGGTTCCATTAAAATGATTAACAGTCGGGTTTATTGTTCTTTGAAACAAGTTTTGGGGTTCAGTCTTTAAAGAATAGAGAACAAAACTCTAGATTGCCGTCTATGGTCCAGTCCTGTGGAACCTTTATGGAATCATTTTGTTACTAAAGGGAGCAGGCAAAAAAAAAAACAAAAACAACAACAACAACAACAAAAACCCAACCAAACAAACAAAAAAACTACAAATGCATGAGTGGAAAGTTCATCACTACCAATTTGAAGTCCAAGATTGAGGCAGAAGTATTCCTTGTCATAAAAGCTACTAAATTTATTTCTTCATTTGTTCAAACAAGTATGTTTCAAGATCATAAGTATGTGCCGTGAGCTCTTCTAGTTTCTGGGCATTAGTGAGGTACACAGATTCAGTGTCTAAAAACCATATTCTAGTAGCAGAATAGTAGGAGTAGATATGCATACAGAAAGATATATGATTGCTATATGTCAGGGAGCTTAAATCATGTACGCAAATTTTATTCTTAATCCCAAGGAAGTAATATATAAACATTGACCGGAAGCCGAGTAAGAGACAGTGTGTTCCTCCCCACCCCACCCTGCCCCCAACCACCCGAGGCTTGCTTATTTAAAAAAAACGAGAGCTCATGAAAGGAATGGGATCAAACATTAACTGTTTGTTTTCAGGATTTCTCATTGCTCATGGCTTTGTTTTTTGTCCAGGAGAAGCTGCGTGGGGTCAGAGCTGGTCGACTGGCTTCTTGAACACTGTCCTTTTGTCCAGTGTAGATCCATGGCCATTGGAGTCTGGCAACTCCTACTGGATATGGGAATTATGTCATCAGGTTAGTGTTCCATACTTTGAAGACACAATCACTACTTTGTTAAACTGCTAGACCAAAACATAATTGATCTTCTAGAGCATGTTACAATATAAATGGAAATTGTTTTTGAAGGTAAATTTTTACATTTTTATTTTCTAAGCAAAAAGCGACAACAGGTCATGTTTGATTCCTTTATACTTGCCACACCTTCTGTGAAAATACTTAGATGCTTGTTGATGTTAGACTTAAACCTGTAAAAAGTGTTGCCTTCCTCTCTCTTGGCAACTCTGCTCATAAATTTCTTTAATTGGAGATGTCTTTTGTTGCTTCAAATGAATGGTTTATCGTGCTGTATGTATTCAGAAACTGATTTATGAGTGGTGTGTGTGCTATTTTAATTAAGTAATCACAAACACTTAGATACGTGAGCTATGAAGATAGTTGTTCATACTGGACAGAAAATGATGTTTAGGTATAAGCTAAAGTATATGACAATCTCTCTTTTCTTAGTTGAACCCGGGGCGCTGAAAGGGTAGAAGCCAAGCAATTTGTTCTTTATTTATTTCAGTCTCTCAGATGCTAGTTGGTACTGGTAAGACCTTGTTTCTATAGATTGTAAATATTAAGGGCAATTCCTGGTATCAGTGTGAAAGGATGGCACAGATGAGGACATGGTTGTAATCGTCTTAGTAACACCTAGCTCCTAATACTCTTATTTGGAAAGTCAGCTAACTGTTTTTGAGGAGCAGAGCTGTGACTGGCTCATTGGCTAGCATCAGGCTTCTGGTGGGTGACACATTTTGTGTAAAGGCCTTTTGGAACCATCTCTAAGTTTTGATTCCATTAAAATAGGATTTCCCAACTTTGACAGTATTGGCACTTTGGCAATTCTTTGTTGTGAGGGGACTGTCCTGTCCATATAGGATTTTTGGCAGCATCCATTTCTTTCTCCTTCTAGGCACCAGGTGCACACCCCTCCATTATTAGTTATCAAAAATGTCTCCAGACATCACCTTGAAGCAGGGGCACAATGACCCCCAGTTGAGAGCCACTAATTTTGCTAACCAAACCTTGCTTTCATGCTGTTTGTTTGGCATTTCTTGCCACCCCTCTTTGAATTGATACTGATTTGGCCAGCACTCTTCTGCGAAGCAGAAAACCTATAAAATATATTGGTCAACATTCAAGCAGTGAAATTGACTAACCAATATGTCCTTTCATTTTATTGAGAGTATAAGCTTGAGTGAAGCTTGAATTATGTTATCTGACCTTTGGTTTCCTCCTAATCATTGGGTTGTTCACTTTATTATTTGATTCGTGACTCTTAAAAAAAACCTAAGACCTCTTTGTTTGTTTGCTTCCAACAGTGGACCAACATCTATACTTTCAAGATAATTACGTTTTCTACCAGTTTTCTTCGGAAGAATGTAGCTACTTGTACTGTGAATTTGAAAGAGAAGAAGAATGGCAAAATGGGGTGAAACTTTTGCTGCAGCTGGTGCATCTCATTCCTGCTAGAGCTGGCATCTGTGACCTGTGAGTAGCATGTTGGGTATGGCTGTAAACTGTTGGTTCTTAGAGAACGTGTCCTACGTCCTGGGACTGCTCTGCTCCGTCAGACCACTATCTTGTTTGAGTGGTAGGAAAACTATTCCCAAGTTTGGAAAGGTAGACACAGTGTTGGAGATTCATCCTAGCTCCTACATGGCTCCATTGCTATTTTGATCCTCGGCGTGCTTTCTCCGCCAGCTGCAGCGCGATGGTGCTCTGTTTCGCTACTGAATAAGTGGATGATCTAAATTAAGTATAAACATATGATTGGGCTGAAGTTGAATGAAATAATAACTCATATCTTATCCATGCTAGTCATGACTGTGCTAAGAAGGGGCTCAACAGACATTTCTGAAAATAATCTAGAAGCAGTGTTTGGCGAATTAAAGCATTTGAGTCATTATCACATGAAGAAAGTGAATCACTGTATGATTAAAATAATTAGAAGCAGCTTCCTTGAGTCGTGATATGGGGATTATGATATGCCTTCTTTATCCTTGGCAACAGTGACAAGCTGGTTACAGAAAGGAGTTGCAGGTTGAAATGCCAGTTCGATCACTCATAGATGTAGAACCCTTCAGGTATCAGAACACTGTCCCATACTGTTGACTCTTCTGGCTTTTAGAAGGCAAATGGAATTGTCCTTATGTCTCAGGTGAGAGTATAGCTTCCAAGAGATGCCTTCCTGTGACCATAACAAATGTAACTTAGGGGAATGGAGAGATGGCTCAGCGGTTAAGAGCACTTGCTGCTGTTCTAGAGTACTTGGGCTCAATTCTCAGCACCCACATGACAGCTCATAGCTGTCTATAACTCTAGTTCCAGGGGATATGACACCCTCACACAGACATATATGCAGGCAAAACACCAATGCACATGAAATAGATTAGGGTGCTCCAGTGTGCAATTAGTTAGCATTTGGTACTTATACCAATGTAACTTAGTTTTATGAGCTAAGAAGTGACACTACTGAGTAGTTAGTTCAGACATAGCAAATGAAAATTCTTATATTAACAATACATTTCCAAAAGAAAAGTTGGGTGTCAGCAATATGTTTCATGTCAGGCACTATACCAGACACATGCCTTATAATCTCTGTTTTACCTCAGAAAGATTCTTGAAGGCAAGTACTGTTAATTTCCACTTATAAGTGAGGAAATGGAGGCACAGAGTTCAAGTAACCTGTCCAAGGTCACACAAACGGAGAGTGTAGACATCTGTTTACCTTTATTACCTCAGCTTTTTACATCTGCTGTGACGTGTTCTCAGAAGCTGTGGAATAGCCCTAGTATCCCTTCTGAGAATTGTAAGCACAAGTTACGGAAGTGTTAGACTGAACTGTGAAGTGATTATGGGCTTGCCACCACCACTGTTGACAGAGGACCTTGAAACAGTAATGTAGATTCCAATGACACTGAAGAAGCATGACATGGGATATCCTTTATTGTAATATATTCTTCATAGAGGTTGGACATATCCAAGAAAGGTCAAGGCACAGGCCAGTAAACTCCAAGGAGCTCCTAAAGAAGAAGTGACCTTCTTTTTAGTCAGACACTGACCATCACTCCATCCAAATGAAAGACTGTCATTCTTTGACAGCATTCTTCTACCATTTCCTGCCTTGTGTGCATGATGGAGGTGTGGAAATCCCTGGGTACACTCAGAGTAAGAGGGCAGGAGTAGTTTAATCCCCCACACCTCCCCAAGTAGCAAGTTTTAGGAATGCCAGTGGACGAAAAAGCCTTGTGATGTGTAAATCCCAAACCTGCTCTAATTTCTAAAAGTGACAGTTATTTAAAACAAAACAAAACAAAAAAACCAACAAAAACTCGAGCCCTAATATCAATTCCAGATTGATTACAATCTTTTGTCACATTGAGTACTGTGGATGCGAAGTCAGGTCTCAGGGTTTGAACCACCTGTAGTACTCCATGTCCACCAGTGAATTTTGATCGTTTGGTGTGAACCTGAACCTTGGGTCACAGTTACTAACTGGTACACATGGTCGCTGAGGAGCTAAGGACCTGGTTATTCTTATTATAAGTACCAAGCATAAAAGGAAAAAAGGGTTACTAAACCGCAGTTCTCTTCAGGATAGGGAAGATACGTCCTTCCTGCATTAGAGGTGTGAGCCAACTTCTCTGCAGCCGTAGAGTCTCTTAGATTTCTGAAAAATAGACATTGAGCTATCCCCCTTGGAATAAAGGATGGTCAGAGAAAGGATGCCCAGGGACTTCGTCCTCTTTCAGCTGGATTGCCACAGCACCTCCCCTGGTTCCTGCACATATTTTCACCATACCTCTTGCTTTGACCTAGAAATCCCTATTGTTTCAGACTTCAGCCCACACTGCTAGTGTTAGGCTCTGCTCCTCCTTCTGCCTCTCTTTCCTTGTTAAGTTCTGCCCAACCCTCAAGGGGGAGCCCAAGTCCTACCTTGCCTATGAAGTTTCCCCGATGTCATTGGACTGTCTTGGACTGGTGTTTGGTAAACCACTGCTCTCATCATTCTTGGTGGTTTTAAAAGGGAAATCCATTCTTCTAGGTCATTCTTAACCTGGTGTTGTTTCGCTTTTATTCCTTCTAACTGAAGTGCTCTCTGAAGTCCTTTGATTCTTATGCTTTCCATTTGTAAAATAAAACCCCCATCCCCGTGGCGCTTTTAATAACCTATTTGATATTTGAAAGCTATTAAGGTCTACCTACGCAATTCCACAGTGGGTCCCCCTTGGTTTCCCATGCTCTCTAAATGACTTTAAAATGATGCCAGAAAACCACTTAATGTCCCTCTATAAACACAAATCTCTTCTGAACAAATGTATTTTTTTAAAAAGAAAAAAAATAAAAGGGATTTTATAATTTTTAAAAAAAGGATGTTGTCTACCACAGAAAGAGATGGAGCTGGGTAAGCTTGCAGCCTAGTTTGAGGAAATAAATACACTGCTCTCTGTGAAATGGTTTTTATGTCCCCTAAAAGAGATAATTAGAAAGGATTGAGTTGGTTGGCAGGTTACAGCTTCGGGGAAAGGGACTACTAGTAGTAGCACCTCGTTCAGACAGAAGCCCAAATCAAGTTACCCAGAATGAACTTCTTCCTGACTCTCAGTTTTTTTAATTTTGGGTGGGTGGAGAAGAGAATGAGTGAAGACTGAGGAAATAACAGTGTCAAGAAAGACAGCCAAGTAGTTCCCTTAGGGCTTGTATGTTGCTTCTTCCTGATGAGAACCTGCCTGAGAGTTGAGGCTTTGTGAAGCTAAGGTCAGCTCCACTGCAGCGTGGTACCTCTCATCTTGCAAGGGCTCTGAGCAGTCTGCCATTGGCCTCTGAATGCATAAAACCATAGCCTTCCAGTTACAGATAGGTAACACTGATACTATAAAAGACTTGCTGAGGATTGCCGATGCTCAACTCAGGTTATACACACAATATATGTAAAAAGGAAAAAAAAATAAAACCAAATAAACATGGTTTTCTTGCTAAGAGAGATGGTGTCTGTCTTCTACATAAGCACCCATCGTTTTTTTGTTTTGTTTTGTTTTGAATAGTCCAGGAGTTCCTAGTTTTGGTCTAATGCAGTAAAGTTAATCAAATCCAGTGTCTGCTCTTGCACAAGATGCCCTGTGGGATATGATGAGTAGCGGAGTCAGGGGGGTTACTTTGAGAGAGATGTGGAGTCTCTCATGTCTGACGGGAGGCTTTCTCTACTTAAAGCTTCCTTGTGATGATTACAAGCCTACTGTGTTCCCAAATAAGATGGTTGACTTTCAGTTCTGGTCTTACTGGACAGGTCAGCATCTTTGACTCTATGACACTGCTCTTTGGAAAGCAGCCTTTGCACTTGCTTCCTGAGACCTCATCTGTTGGCTCTGCCATCTCTCTGGCTGTACTGTTTATGCTTCCTTTCTGACTTCGTGCACTCTGTGTTCCAAGACCATGCAGTTTGGGGCCTTGCTTGATCCTGGAGGAGATGCCTTTAGACCAGTCAATTCTGTTTCCTACTCCTTTGGATAGTAAAGAACTCATTTGTGCAAGTCCTTTTCATATGTGGACTGATCAATGCAAAATCTGCCTCCTAGTCTTCTCTTTGGGGCTTTCCCCTTGCCCTGACCACTGCAGGCATCAGGGATAGCCCCTGTTTTCCAGAGTCAGGTAGAACTATTCAAAGTAGCCATTCTTCTGTTTATTTATATCCTGTCTCACTTGCCCCCTGTGGGAAACACAGAAAAAGGTTATTGTTTAGGCTTTCTCTTCTGCCTCTGCCTTGCTGATCCTGGGGCTTCTTCCTCTTGTAGCCTTTGGTGTGATGTGTCTCCTCCTACTGGGAACTGCGAGTAACAGATTGTCATTTCAATAGCACTGGTTTTTTCAGATCTCTGTCCTCAGGCTGGCCACATACTTTTAAATCTCTTACCTCTTAACACAAAGTGTTGGGAGTTGAGTTGTTGGTTGTCTCTGCCTTTTCTACTTCCATCAGCTCTACAAAAATGACTTCCAAATCCCAGGGCCTGTGTGCTGCCTCAGCATCCTGTGTAAAAGCATTGCCTACCAGCTAAGACCCCCTTCCTGCCTCCTCATTCTTCTACCCTGCCATAGTTTCCGTCTGACACACATAAGCAGCACAAGGCATTCTAGTTCCTGAGTAGTGTATGCTTCATAGCTCTGACTTGGGAGTTCAAGATCAGGTCTGCCATTTATTCCTGTCCAAATATGCCCTTTGTCCTTCTGACTTTTCCTAATTAGATTCTCAGGACGTTTGGGCAGGAAGAAAATAATGTCTTCATAAACAAGCACTTTTTTGAGTAGGAAATTTTTTTTCATGATGGAACTTGGCATGTTTTATATTTGGTTCATAGGTGAAGAAAGTTTCCATTTATCTCTTTAGATTATTATAAGATTGAACCGGTCTTATCTTTGTCATTTCTTGTTACTCCTTCAGCCACGGAGGTGCTGAGTTCCCCCAAATTTGCAATGTTTATAGACAAAGATTATTCCAGGTGTGGGAAACTGATTACTTATCCGTAACAGAATGCATCTATATTTGAGAGTAGTGCAGGGATTCTAGCTAAATGTGAACTTTTGTAGTTACTTGTGTTAGCATTTGTAATGCAGCTGCTTAATTAAGTGGTAGTCATTTATCTTCAAATCCCCAAAATAAAATGTGAAAAAGAGATCCAAGGACTCCTGATTTTATTCAGCTTTAGGTTGGTTTTTATCACTGTGTACCTGGTCCCAGGAAGCCCAGGACAGTCAATTTATTGCTGCTCAGAAAATCTTTTCTGTCAGCATACCTAGCCAGCTGGTGATGGAATAAGAGAGACCAGAGCCAACTAAGTGGGTTACAAAGTGGTTAGGGTTATATATCTGATAGGGATTGAAGGCCTGGACCAAAGGAAGCAGAACTGGAGGAAGGGATGGGAAAGAATGTGATTGGCTGTGGGTGGTGTGTGCAGAAAGGATGGATGGCCACAGGGTATCAGAACACCATGATGGGAGGGGGAGAAAAGAAGCAGTGTGGCTGAATTTTAATTCATGGGGCCTGTGATTCCCATGTGTGTGGCTGAAAATCAGATTACTGGAATTGGCACCCAGAGCCCCTTGGAAGGCAGGTAGAGGAACTAGGCATGCTCAGCAGGCTTCCAAGACACCTGGGAATTCTAGGTGTGAATCTGTAAAGATCATGGTGACCCAGGAGGTAAAAGCAGGCTGCAGGTTACAGCCGACTCCAGGAAGAGCATCACACTAATTCTGGCTGAATATCTTCAGAAACGTTTCTGCCAAGGCCTGTTTGTGCTGGGAGTAGGATGAAAGATAGTTCTGCCTCTGAGCAGGGATGGAATTACTTTTCTTGAAGGCAGCAATAGCTCAGCTACTGCTCATGAAATAATGAACACCAGTCATAGACACGGGGACTTCCCTTGGAATCGCAGGTCCTCTCTGCAAACTTTTGAAGAAGGATTCACAGCATAGTCTGTGCTAATGCAAAACTGCCTCATGCCTGCCAACTAAACTTTCAGGTGTTGTGTGTGTTAGATCATTTAAGGCAAGCTGTAGAGGGACAGAAGGTGGGAAGAGAGAGAGAGAGAGAGAGAGAGAGAGAGAGAGAGAGAGAGAGAGAGAGAGACTGGTCTGACCTTATATGGGACTATGTTTTATTCACCTTGAGGAGGAACTTCTGTCACTCATTTGTGCAGAGCGCCAAAATGCCTACAAAGGTTGGGTTATGGGCCCTTTATAGAGGCAGAAATGACAGCCATACCCTAGTCCTTCCTTCCCAGAACTGCTTGGCCTGGCTGCCAGGGAAGCTGGGAAGTGTAGTCTTTTATCAGGAAACAATCAGTTTGGGTCTGAAAAGGCACTTGCAGTCACTGCTTTATTTACCGCAGAGATAGCCAGATGCAGCCACATAAGCCCTTGCTCAGTGCCGTGCTCTGTGGTGCACTTGTTTCTTAATTTCCTGTCAGCCGTGTTCAGTCACCAAGCCAAAGCATATAAGCCAGGTTCGGTGGCTTGAGTTGTGTGGATTTACGTCTTCTCTCAGCTGTCAGCATAGCCTCCTTTACAAGGAAATGTGAACTTTAGCCATAAGGATCGTTGTTTGAAATACTCACCATGCAGGTGACTTTTAAAAGGACACACAAAGCTGAGATATGTTCAACTTCCTCTGCAGATCTTTAGCGAGCTAGCTGTTCAAACGCTTAGCCGCTACACCATTTAGCAGCTACACTGGCAGTGAGGGAGTGCAACAGCCAGGCTGGGCTCCATAGCTGCATCTTCCAGCTCTTGTAAAGGCAGTGGCTTGTATTCCTTCCTGAGATTTGAAGACCCTGACTTTCTCTCTGATAACAAGTGACCAATGCTAGAATTCATCAACTAGAATCGAGTGACCAATGCTAGAATTCAGCAACTAGGCCATCCCTTCTTATAAAGTTGCTGCTCCGTTCTCTAGAAAGTCGGAGAAGGCCTCATGCGTGCCCTCAGGCAAATGCTCCATCTGGCTCACCTCAGCTACTGAGATGGGAACCAATCCGTGGACTGCGTTTCTGATACTTGACTCTACAGATCAGTCACCATGAATCTCTCATCTCAGGATGTGCTGAAAGGGGCTGCTTGTGGAAATAGTTCTAGGACATAATTCTATGTATTTACTTGGTATTGATTCACTGTTTTCCTTGGACCAAACCAGGAAAATAAATGTGATTTATAAGACTTTTTTTTAAAGTAGAAACACATTTGTATAAATAATAAAGATGATTTTTTTCCTAAACAAAATAATCTTATACCAATATGTTTCATTAATTACTTGATATTTGCATAACTTTTTTTCCTCTTCACCTAAGCTCTGATTTTCTGAAAAAGGAAAGTCTTTCTGTATTTTGTTGTTGTTTTGTTTTGTTTTATAATTTCCACCATGGGATTAGGCCTAAAACATACTATTTCATAATGAATTTATTTGGGCGGAAACTCTAATGTAGTGGAAAATTCACATTTTATAGCTTCACAGTTTCATTTAGATTTGGGGGTCATTCAATACTTCATTACCTTATGTTCATTTTTTTTTTTTTTTTGTTCATGGCCGTATCTGTAGATCAGGTATTGTAGGGTTACCCTGTGATGCCATGTAGGGAGCAGCTCTTGGTCCCTAGCTGGCACATTGTATAGAGGTAACTGGATAATTGATTCTGAAGAACAACTGGTTGGGAAAGGATTGTGTATCTTTGGCTCTGTCAACACAATGTTGTTTGCATACTTTTACTCATGATGTAATGACAATGTCATACTTTTTGCCCTTTATTTCCCGTAACTTGGTAGATGGATTTGAGCAACCAGCCCTAAGGATTAATTTGTTGTTTGTTTTTCAAAGGTCTCATCAGAAAGTGGAAGACTCAGAAGAAAGCAGCGATGAAATTCTTGCTCGGCTAACATCTGCGGTAAGACAGTTACCCTATGTGATGGGAGAAATAATGAGAACAGATCACAGAAGGGAGGCAGTTTAGGGACGGCTGCTTGCTGTTGAGAGAGGCCCAACACAAGGTGCTCGAAAGTGGTTTGACTGGACCTTGCTGGAGGCTCCAGTGGTATCACAGACACTTCTGGTGAAAGGTGTTCATAGTCTTCATGCTATGCCCCTGGGCTTTGGAATCCAGTGTGACTTAACCTAGGGACAATGGTAACTTACTACACAAAAGGGAAAATATTGTTTCTTTAGGCAGAGAAAGGACTCTTATTAGACAGCAAAAGGCAAGGGCAGTGGTTTAGTTTTTAGTATTACAACATTGTCAGCATATTCTGTAAGGCCATTGTAAAGAGTGGTCAGTGGCTTTGGTGGCTGAAGGGCAATTCATGACTTTCTTTGTTGTAAAAGCTGGCAGTCAATCAGTCAATACTAGATTTTTTTTTTTTTTTTTTGAGAGAGGGTCTCATTCTATATCCCTGGGTGGCCTTGAACTCACAGTGATCTTCCTGCCTCTACCACCAGAATAATGGGATTAAAGGTGTGGGCCATCAAGTGTGGCCCTGTGGGTGCTAACCATTAAGCTCATTTTTTGACAGGCTCTAGGTATTTAAATCGTTATGCATTTGTCTTGGCAGTTTCTGAGAAGCTTTCCTAGCCTCCCTGAAGATTTCTTTAATGCTGCTTTAATACCGTCATCCTAATTTGCCTCTCTTACTTTGATCAGTACTGTGACTGAAAACAACTTGGGGAGGAGGGTTTAAGGGTTTATTTTAGCTTACACTTTATAGTCCCTCATCAGGGGACAGCCAGGCAGAAACTCAAGGTGGAGCCTGGTGGTAGGAACTGAAGCAGAGACCACAGAGAAACATTATGTACTGGCTTGCTCCACCTGGTTCATGCTCAACTACCTCTCTTATATAGCCCAGGCCCCGTTTTCATGGCTGACACTACCCACTGTAGGTGAGGTGCTTCTACATAAATTAACAACAAAATGCCCCACAGACACGCCATAGGCCAATCTGATGGAGGCAATTCCCCAATTGAGGTTCCTGCTTTCCGGGTATGTCAAATTGATAACCAAGATTAGCCCTGACACCCCTTAATAAAACTCTAATTGTAGAAAATCATGCTTGATTGGGTTGTATGTGAATGAAACTGCATGGGGTGTGATACACCAGGTCTCACCACAGGGACACAACTTGAAGGATGAAAGCTCTTTACTGCTCTGTAATGTGTTTAGAAGATAATTTGGGACTTAATATAATATGGTAAGCTTTGATGCAGAACCTCACACAAAAGGAAATCTTGACAGTGTGTTAGGAAAATATTTAACAACACACTTTTAGGTTAACATATAGAACAAGAAGGAGTTGCTTGTTTTATACAAAACAACAATTACCATCTGAAAACCTCTCACTAAGTCTGATGCCATGTTAAATATACCTTCTGTGCATGTGTGTACACACTCTGCTAAGTTGCGAGACAACACTGGGAAGTAGCTGGCATCATTTCTGTTTCATAGGTAGCAAAGCAAGCAAAGGTTAGTTAACTCCAAACTAAAGTCTAAGCTAAAAAGAAGCAGAAGTCGAATTTCTCTTTTACATTTCCCTAGGAGAAGAGGCTATTACAACCAGCTACTTAATTACTGTAGAGTATCAGTTTCTCAACAGCTTCTTTTCCTGTTTGGTATCTTTGGTGGTTGAATGAGAATAACCCCCGTAGGCTCATATATTTGAAAGCTTAGTCATCAGGGAATGGCACTACTTGAGAGGGATTAGGAGGTGTGGCTTTGCAGGGGTTGGTCTGGCTTCCTTGGAAGAAGTGTGTCACTGGGTGTGGGCTTTGAGGTTTCAGAAGGCCACGCCAGCCCAGCATCCCTTTCTTTCTGTTGCCTATATATTCAGAACTGTCGTCTATTTCTCTGGCTCTGTGTATCTGCATGCCACTATGCTTCCTGCCATGATGACAATGGACTAAACCTCTGAAACTGAATCAAGCCTCAACTAAATGCTTTCCTTGGTAACAGTTGCCATGATCATGATATCTCTTCATAGCAGTAGAACACTGACCAAGACAGAAGTTGGTACCACGAGTGGGGTATTTCTGTGACAGCCTGATCATGCTGCTTATTGGCAGAATATAGACTTTGGGACTTTGGATTAGGAAAGTAGTTGAATGTGTTAAGTGGGGCTTAATAGGCCATACTACTAGGAGTTTGGAAGCAGTGGTGCTGAGAGCCATATAGATTACAACAGCCCAGTTCAAGAAGTTTCAGAGGAAAATATATTAAGTGGCCTGGAGACCATTCTTGTGATATTTTGTCAAAGACTGTGACTGCTTTCTGCCCTTGTCCAAACAATTTGTGCCTAAATTGAGTCGACGTTTGTAGAGGAGATTTCAAGGCAGCCTAGAATTGCCTCTGTTGGGTGGTTATTAGTGATCACTCTAACGCACATCTATAATGAAAAGAAGCAAACTGAGCAAGAGAAAGTAAAAAATGTACAGTTTGAGGAGAAACGGAGCATAGAAAATGTAGTAGAGCTAAGTCCAGCACTCAAGGAAATAAAGAAGTTTAAGAAAATCCTGATGCTAAATGGAATAAAGGGAGTGGCTTCAGAGCAAGACCCCACCCAGCTAAGCTTCCAACTTGTGAAAAGGAATTAAAGAAAAAGCTTAATAAATAAAGGAAACCATCAAAAAAAAAGAGAGAGAGGAAAAAATGATGAAAATGTTTTTGAATAAGGGGGCCAAGTTCCAGCCCCAGCAAGCTGTGGAACTTGGCAATTTCAGTTACATAGTTCTTGCTTTAGAGTCGAGGATAGAAAAAAAGGATTATGGTCTCTTCCTCTGTGGCTAATGTAAGCTGCTGTGGACAGACTGGGTCAGGAATGTCCCTTCATAGAGGTCAGGGAGGCTTTTGTCTGAAGCTTCTTGAAGGTAAAGCCTGGATTGTGTTGGAGACTCCAAGATGTTGGTGTTGCCAGAACCATGAGAAACTTGCCAAGGAAAGCTGCTAACAGGGAGTGAAACCAGCCCAAGAGAGAGAAGTGTGTTACTGTTTATCGTTCCAGTTGTCAGCTTGAACCTGAGAGAGTGTGGCCTAAAAATGAGGCAGACTAAGCTCTCATGCAACATCCAACTTTATTCAGATCATCGGACAATTTATACTCTGAGGGTTAAGAAGAATCAGGAGCAAGGTCTTCAATCACAAGGACAAGCAATGTGTGGCAAAAAAAAACATGTTTTTTTTTTGTTTTTTGTTTTTTTTTTTTCATAGAGGCATATGGAATAGCAACAGGTGAAGGAAACTCACCTCTATGCACTATACCTGAGAGGGGCACAAAAGCTCACTCCAAGAACAATGCTGTGTTTTTGAAGAAACTGAGGTCACAATACTCATGTCTCATTTACTTGGAGTTCTCATAAGCGCTCATAAAAATCTCTTCACACAGCTCCATTCTTGGACCCTATGTATTGCAGTCAACAAAGCAGAAAGGAATTGGAGATCTGAAGAGCCCCTTAACATCAGCCATGGAAATGCAGAATCTGGAGTTTGCACTGCTGTTTCTCAGTCTTGCTGTGGTCCAGTATTTTCTCCCATGATCCCTTTCCTCCCTTTGAAAGTGGTGATGGATATCCCGTGCCACTGTGATTTTACATCAAGTCACATTAGTCTCAGAAGAGACTTTTAACTTCTGACTTTTAAACAGCCTTGAGACCATTCGAGACTATGGGAGCTTTTGAGGTTGGACTGAATGCATTTTTACGTTTAATCATCTGGCTGCAAGCCTGTGGGGGCCAGGGAGTGGAATGTGGTGGTCCCCCATAGACTCATCTATTTGAAGGCTGAGTCATCAGGGAGTGACACTGATTGAGAAGGATTAGGAGGTGTGGCTTTGTTGGAGGAAGTGTGTCACTAGGGGTGGTCTTTGAGGTTTCAAGGGCCCAAGCCAGGTCCAGTTTCTCTCTCTTTCTGCTGCCTGTGGATCCAGATGTGCTACTCTGAGCTCTTCCAGCACCATGTCTGCCTGTGTGCCACAATGCTCCCTGCAATGATGAGTGAAGATGGTAATTTTCTGTCCTACCAGATCCAGCCACCCTTCAGCCCCAAATAAACACACAGAGACTATATTAATTATAAAACTGTTGGCCGATGGCTTGGACTTCTTACTGGCTAGCTCTCTTAATTATTGACCCATTTCTATTAATCTAAGTACTTCCGTGTAGTCTTATCTTACTGGAGAAGGGTCCAGACCTGTTACCCTTCCTCTGAAACATGGTGTCTCCGAGGCCTCCCTCTCTCTCCTCACTCCTTCCTCTCGTAGCCCCCGTCTATCCTTCCTGCCTGGCTATTGGCCAAACAGTGTTTTATTCATCAACCGGTAAGAGAAACATACACTAGAAGGACATCCCTCATCAGATGTGAAACTGTAAGGAAGCCTCAGTTAAATGCTCTTCTATGTAAGAGATGCTGTGGTCATGGTGTCTCTTCACAGCAACAGAACACTGAATAAGTCCAAGGTTGTGAGGGAGCTCATTTTCCGTCAGCTATGAACTTGTCCCAGAATTCCTAAGATACTTTCTTGTAAGAAGTTTTATTCTCATGTTTCCTCCCTTTGGGAATCCTACTGTATAGATAAAATGATCCAAATCTACCACCATGAACCATGTCCTGGTTTCTCCTAGGTCTTTGTCTTATTTCTTTCCCATGCCTTCTTTTCCACAGACCTCTCTTGGGTAATACTTGTCAGAGAGCCAGCAAATCCTAATGAGAACCATTGTCTTGTCAGGCAAAGCTTGACACACTATGAAAGTCCAAGACTGCATCTTCCAGAGTACCTTGTCTTCCCAGACCTCCTGTACCTCTAACAGTACTTATCCCCATGTTTTCCCCTTGCTTGTGTACAGAGCCTCTCTCCTTTGCCATGTGTCATCTTTTATACAACTCTTTATTCCCTTTCTTGGTGTAAGAGG